CACTTGCCTCACATAAACATTTGCAAGTGCATTCGACATCTCACTATGTTTGAAACATAAAGCAGTATAATTTCATGAAACTTGAGAACATTGGGGTTTTAAAAATGACTTTGTAAAACTGAGTTGTTGGGCCCAGAAAATTTATTTAATACTATAAACTCAACAAATATTTCTTTTCCTCATTGTTTTTGAGACAGCGTCTCTGTCACCCAGGCTGGAGTGCAGTGGCAGGATCTCAGCTCACTGAAACCTGGAACCTCCATCCCACCAACCCCACTTCTGACCCCAAGCTCAAGTGATCCTCCCACCTCGGCCTCCTGAGTAGCTGTGACCACAGGTGCATACCACCACACTGACTATATTTTTGTATTTTTGGTAGAGACGAAGTCTCACCGTGTTGCCCAGGCTGCCCTTGAATTCTGAGCTCAAGTGATTTGCCCGCTTCGGCCTTGCAAAGTGCTGGGATTATAGGGTTGAGCCACCACACCCAGCCAACAAATACTTCTTTATTGAATTCTACATGCAAGGCATTTTTCTGAGTTATAGGGTTACAATGGGGAGCAAAACAAAGATTTTACCCTCACAGATCTATGTTAGTGGGAGAATTAGCTAGTTATTGTGTAGATATTTGGCAGAGCCATCTCAGCAAATTAGGAAAATGTTTCAGGATCTAAGTCTGAGCTCTAGTGAGGCTGATGGAGAGAGAAACAGCCTTTAGGACAGTTATATGCAACCAACTAGATAGTTACCGAAAAAGAAAATCATGCACTCTGAGGTTCAGTAGACTCTTAATGGCTTATTAGGCAAACATGGTGACTCTTTGAAATGTTCACTGTGACTTCAGGACCATCCTTACCTAGTCTTGCACATTTCTCCGTCTTTGACTCACAATATTCTTCTCTCCTCTCACCTTCAAATATCCATACATTGCTAGGAGTGCAAAACACTGGACTGGTTTTCTACTTCTAAGATCTTCCAGGCCTCTGCTTATTCCCTCCCCTGGTGTCTGGCCTTGTGGTCACTTTACTTCTCTGAGACTTCCATACATTATAAATTGGGGAAAGGAAATTCATATATTAACATTCAAACTAGTCTTTTTTTTTTTTTTTTTTTTTTTCCCCTACCATTCGCTTCTTCCATAAATTCTTAGGCAGAGATAGGATTTTAAAAATTTTCAGCTCACACCATTGCTATGGAAATATCACCTCATTTTCTTAGAAGGAGTTCATGGGCAGACAGGTAAATACATGAACATTAGCCAGCAGGAAGCTTCAAGGACAGTAGAGCGATGAAATGTTTTTCTGATAGTTATGCTTCCTTCCAATAAAAAGTTCCTCAAAAGTATAATAGCGAGGGTCAAATGTTTATATAAAGAACTATTTAGAGCTTTGTAATGTAAAATATTGAACCCACATCTGAGAGGTCCATTTCCTTTCAAAAACTGTTAGGGTTTTCAGTATACTCTTCTTTCTCATCATTCAACATATATACAATCCAGACTAGCCTTTGTGAGCCCAAATAAATATGCCAGTTACAATTTGCAGCCTAATATCACAAGGAGTAGTGCAAGCAACAGAAACTCTGAAAAAGTCTGGCAGTACTTATACAAGTAAAATGCTATTTTTCAGCATCTTTTGCCTTATCTTCACACTTCTCTGAATTATAAACATTATTTCTAGAAAGTCTAACAAGGTAATAACAAATCCACAAGTTCATTTTCAGCAAATGATTCCCAAACAAGGTGTTGACAGATTTTTATCATTTTGATTCCAGAGATTCTAGTCTCATGAAAGTGTTCATGGAGATTGATATATATTTATATATATTTAAAAGAAATGAAAAATGGAAGGAAGAGTTATAACTAGGCTTTTTCATTAGAATGAATGATGAAAAGCGCTGACCCCACCTAGCACTCTGCCTTTTGTGAGCTTTTTATTTCATTGTCTTTGACCTGCAATCATAATCTTTATAAGAAATAGTTAATAAAAGAGGCTGAGAGGTAACCAAGAAGATGGGTGGCTAGAAATAAATGTTTCCTCAAGTATTTATTACCCTTCAGAAATATCTGTCTGCAATGTTAGTCCCATATATCCACTTTAACAGTGCGGAGGAGGGAAGTGGTAGCTGTTATTAATTTTTAAGGCTGGCTGGCAGCTTTCAGTCCAAGAACAAGGCTTAACTTTGCATTTTGAATAACGCAGAAATTTTCATTAGTTAGAATAGAATCAAAATTATGAATGATGTATTGCCTGCCAAAAAACTGACATTGTATTATATTTGCAGTTCTCTTTTAGAATAAGCTTTCCAGAAGTGTACTTAGACAAATTGGAAAGATACCAGTATTGTTTACTTATTTTATGTGTAAGTTTTGGAAAAATAATTCAAAAGACATGTCATCCTGACGGAGGGTTGGTAATGTCATATCCAAGGGGCAGTTCATTATTGCACCTAAAAGCTAAGTGCTGGCACAAATAGTACTAGTGTATGAGATCGTTGCAATTGGTTTCAGACATTACATTTTGCTCACATCTGCCTTCTGAAGACCCTGGGACAACTTAATTACATCTGCACTTTTGTTTCCTACCTCTTTCAATAAAAAACATAAAATTACCCTCAGTTGAGAACTATCAGACTCAAATGTTTGTGACTGCTTTCCATTGTCATCTCTTTTCCAGCAGATCATCATGTTAAGTTAGTCTTGGGCATATATACTTTGCTTTGAGCACCCAAGTTTCATTTTGACTCTGAGTCAATTTGAATTGATGACAATACAAGTACTATATCCAGATGTCTCTCAGTAATGTAATGTATGGCCCTCATAACAAACACTAGAATTAAACCACTAATAGAATAGTCTCCAACAGCTGCTTCAATCCCAGTTTGAAGGGCATTGAAATAGCTGATTCGGGGATTTCTATAGAGAAACTTAAGCTAATTAAAGACGTCAAAGTCAATGGAATGACAATATCTGTCAGTGAACAATACAATTTATATACACCGAAAAGAAGGCTAATAGAAAGTTAACAAAAGTATCCATTTACATGAGTCTTTTATTTTGCATACCATTTTGCATTTCCCAGCTTTGCTCAAACGACAAGTCTCAAGGAAAAGACTTTTGTATATTTACTGCACTATATGATAAAACTATTATTAATTTGCCTTTTCTCCCACTGTTAGGTACAACTGAGCACTGGTGTCTTTTGAGAGTCTTCAAACAGTTCAGTGAGGAGGAAAAGAAAGAGGACTGTTTGTTTTGGTGGTGGTTGTTGTTGTCTTATAACTACTCAAAAGTAGGTATCTATTTCATAAAAGATTCAGCTGGGATTTATCAATTTATTAATTTTTTGACTTATTCAGCTGAAATTCCAATAACTTTAAGGTTGAAATTCCGGTTAATATTGCTCATGCTCAACCAACTGTTTTTGACTGTGCAGCCTGTGGTAGCTGTGGGTTGGAAGCATGCTGCTAACCTTCTGTATATTAACTGCATCAGGTTGTAGAACTACTAATAAAACTAAAAATAGAGATTTTGAAGTTAACCTCAAAATGAAAAGTGTTGTCATTAGAACTGCACTTTTCAAGTGACAAACTTTTTGTCTTATCTAGAATTAAAACAAACAAACTAACAAACAAACAAAAAAACCACCTGAGTAAGCATTAAATACATGCTGCAATTTGTCTGCATGTTTTCACTGCCTGATACTTTTAATCTCAGGGTCTGAGGTTTGGTCAAATAAATTGAGACAAGACCCCATTAGATTCTGGATTACAACTCATATATCATGCACCACCCATCTATTTGATGGGAAGCATTCATCAGACCTCTTTGAGGTTGTGTTCTGGAAGGAAGTTATAATGGCTAGCTACTTTGCTTCATTTTGTTACAAATTCGAACAATGACAGCAATGCCATCTCTGGTTAGGTGTGATTTCTTTATCTAAAATAATTTATTTTTTGGAAGTAAATTAAAATTTTGAAAGTAAATTAAAATTTTGAAAGTAGTCTGGGCACGGTGGCTTACGCCTGTAATCCCAGCACTTTGGGAGGCCGAGGCGGGCGGATCACGAGGTCAGGAGATGGAGACCATCCTGGCTAACACGGGGAAATCTCGTCTCCACTAAAAATACAAAATAATTAGCCAGGCGTGGTGGCGGGCACCTGTAGTCCCAGCTACTCGGGAGACTGAGGCGGGAGAATGGCGTGAACCCGGGAGGCGGAGCTTACAGTGAGCGGAGATCGCGCCCCTGCACTCCAGCCTGGGCGACAGAGCGAGACTCCGTCTCAAAATCAATTTTTTTTTGAAAGTGAATTAAAATATGAGTCCTTAACAGAGTTGTGCCAAGAAGTGTCTTATACGTCAGCAGGTGCTCAATGAAGGCCATTTGTTGACCTATGCTGCTAAAGCTCTATCATATAACTGCAGGTCATAATATTAATAAATGTTTTTTCCTTTGAGTGTTCTGCTAAAACATGATTTAGCTTTTAAGTTTCCCATTAACTTTTTTTTAGCACATCGTAATTTTTTTTTTTTAGCATCTCACCTGGAAGGTTGTAAATTTTGGTTTTTTTCATTGCACTTTATATAGTTTATAAACATATAGATCTTTCTGTAACACATTATTGTATTGATATCACTACTGTTACTCAGACTTCAAAATTCTGCCACCAACATGCCTAAAATTGTTAATAGATAAAACAACCGTTGATTGTCTACTAAGCATAACGGTTAGATGTCTGATGAAAAGTTGCTAAGATATATGACAGCAGTCCTTGGCCTTCTGAGTCTCTGCACATGCTCTCACAAATTGAGAGTTTCAATATGTAGTGTCACCTTATTTGTGTGCAATTCAGTCTGTCAGCTTTTGACTGTAACTTTAGTATGCTGAGTTCAATCATTTTAGACTCCAAATATAAAATAGTTCATAACCCTGTAATGATTAGTTTTGGAAGCTGTATCTCATTCAAAAGGAACCCACAGGGAGAGAGAAAACAGTACTTACATGTGTCTTCTTCTTCCATGGAAATACTGATCACATAACAGGCATACACAAAACCCACCAACTGCAAAAGGGAAAACATGTGTACCTTAAGAATCTATGCCAAGTTTCTGTACTTAAAGAGCCAATATAATCTAATAAAGATAAAAATTTATGAGCAACTTTTAAGAATTTGCAGTAGAAAACACTCTTTTAAAATGATAGCTATGATTTTAAAAGAGTCTTTTCATTTCTATGTAGCCTCAATAGCTTTCTAAAAAGTACACAGAAATGGGGGAAAAAAACAATTTCTAGACATTTCACTTAGATTTTGACTTGGGACTTACAGTTCTTGTATTTTATAATCAGCAAAGATTATTAAGAAATCCATTTTAAACTTTTGATTTTTTTCTGATGATTGAGCATTTTGTACTAGCACTCATTAACTATAACTATTTTAATTTTTAAAAGCTACAGAAGGAATCAAAACATGTTGCTTATAAATTAAATACCAATCATCTACTTAATTATTTAAAATGCTCTGGGAATGTAAATCATATTTAGATACTAAATTGCTTTGTTAATCATACCACAAGAAAACACATTAACTTGCTGGTGATTCAGTAGTGATAAAATAAAATCGAAGAGCTAATTTGTACTTTGGATACTAGTAGTTCAGAGAATAAATGCAGGTGTAGAATTTAACCTCTGCATTTATGATGCTAAGAGGACGATTTTTATTCCATGGAGCCAAAGACACTGCAATTCCTAGAGGACAAAATTGTCAATGAATCTAGTCCAGTCTAAAAATACTTACTATAAGCACTTCAATAGGTAGGAAAAATAGACACTTAATAGCTGCTGTAGTTTATCTTCTTGCCTTTGTTAACATTTGTTTCCACCCTTTACCCTCATTATAAAATAACATTGGGAAAAGAAACTTTTTCTGATAGTCCTGGTGTCAAAGGCTCAAGTTTCCAATGCAGAGAACAAGATTTCTGGGGCTTTTGACTACCCATGTGAATTAGGACCCTGAGCTTGTAATCCATCTCTGGACTGTCTAGACAAAAGTCAAGAAGCTCTGAGAGGATGAGAGGTTAGGGAAAAGTTTAGGGTGAGGTCTTAGGAGAAGGACTTACAGAGAAATCTGCCAGGGTGCTGATGGCTCCTCCCACCCAGCAGGCACCTCCTCTTACCTCAAGCCAAGTGAGGGGGTGCTTCAGAAAGCACTTGGGGAGCTTAATATTTCTTACACTTTGGGAAACATGGGGGCTTGGCAACCAACTCACACTTGGAAGAGTCAAAAGGCAAGAGGCTGTGTCTAGAGGGGTTTTTGGTAGCAGTGTGTGGAGACAGGACTGGGTGGAATTGTCAGGGTAGGATGTGTGTGTGTGCCCTTAGCCTGGGGGTAAGGCCTCTGGAGAGATCTTCCTGTGCTGTTCTGGAGTTGGAGCCATCCCAGAGGGCTTCCTGGAAGGGCAGGTGACCTCAGAAAAAGGATGGTGGTACTTTGGCTACAGAAGGCAAGTAGGGGTGGAAAGTGGCAAACCAGGGAGGCTGATCATCCGAGAAACAGGTAGGGATCTTAAAGGAGGTGTGGCGTGGGATTCTGAAGAACCCCTAAAAGCACCCCACGAGAAGAAGCATGAGCGTGTGGAAGCTGTCACACCCAGAGAGTATCCCTGCCCGATTACAATGGAACCCGTCATGCTAACACCTTATTCCCTCCTTTTCTCCCATCATTTCTCCTTCTACTTCATCCCCACAATAACGCAGAGGAACAGGGAGAGAAGTGGAGTGAGAAGAGGAGGAAGCAGTGCCGTGTTCCCTCCTCTCTGCAAATCTGCAAGCTGAAATCAAGCCCAAGCTGAGCGGGAGAGTTTTTAAGTGGATGAGAATTTGCAGTGACCTGGACTAGATATTTAATATCTCTGAGGAGCTAAAAGAGCTATAAATTCTGCTTGAAATATGATCCAAAGGGTGAGATGGAACAAAGCCTAAATGTGTACTTGAAGGGGCAGTGAGAGAACAAACAAAATTGCCTTTTGGCTGTATTCTACCAACCCATTCAGTAAACCAGTTACATACACAAGAAAGAAATGGCCCCTAATCCCATCACTAATAACTGTACAATAGATTTCTTCCCAATCTTTCTCTCTTGTAGTTGCTATATATCACTTACACTCGTATGACCCAAGTTAACACTCTCCATAAGCTTAATTATTAACGACTATGTAAATTTGTATTTAAATATATTGCTATGTATTAATGTTCTATTATTGAAAGTTGTTTTCAAGTTATGAATAATATTATGAAAAATATTAATGCTTTTCCTGAATTTTTGATGATCTGATTCCCAGAGGTAAAATTATTATTGCAGAAGTGCCATTGAATACTTTTATGACTACTTTTTATACATTATTGGTTTTCAGAAAGTTAGTATCATCTATCCTAGCACAGCAGTGACTGACAATGCTTGCTTTTCCATACTATAGGATAGTTCCACTTAAAAATACATGCCAAGAAAATAAACAGAATGGCATCCCTTCATTTATTTATTTTTGCAATAGTTCTCTTTCACCTAACATATTTTCATATTTTATTAGTCATTTATGTCTTTTCTTTTGTGAATGACCTCAGAAGTTCTTTGCCCATTTATTAACTTGATCTTGTTTTCGTTAATTTATATGAGGTCTTATGAGGGAAAGCCTTTGCTGTATTTGTTGCAAATTTTGTTTCTTTATGTTAGCCTGTGATAGTGATGGTGTCATAATGTGGGGACATTTTATTACTAAACTGTATGTTAGCAGGCATTTGCCAGCAAACAACTTTCTAGTTCTTGGTGGGTTCTCCCTTAGGGGTATGTGTGTATATGTGTATACCTGGAAGCGTGCATACTTGTAAATCAGTAACTCTTTTGCATTAGTCTTCTGTTGCTGCCGTAAGAGATTGCTGCAAACTTAGTGGCTTAAAACAACACCAGTCTTACAGTTCTGAAGGTCAGGTGTCTGAAATGGGCCTTATGAGGCTAAAATCAAAGTGTCAGCAGGACTGTACTCCTAGAAGATCTGGCAAACTCTGTTTCCTTGCCTTTTTCAGCCACGAGAGGATGCCTGCATTCCTTAGCTGCAGTGGCTGATTCTGTCTCAGGCTGCCATCTCCCTGGTCCTTCCTTCCCCTCCTTCCTGTCTTGCTGTTAAGGATGTTGAGCACACCTGGACAACTTAGGACAATCCCTCCGTGTTAAGGTCACATGATTATCAATCAATTTTATCTGCAACCTTTATTCATTCTCCTTTGCCATGTGCAGTGATTTATTCACAGGTTCCAGAGATGAGGACATGGAAATCTTTAGGGAACTGTTATTCTGCCTATCACATCGGCCTATCACATGTGAACTCATATTTAGACTCGCAGCAGGTTCCGCACAATTTAGGCCACAGTGGAGATGGAGAAATGACACTGAGAAAATTACTTAAATCTTACACAGGAACAGAAAACCAAACACCTCATGTTCTTACTCGTTAGTGGGAGTTGAAGAACGGGAACACATGGACACATGCAGGAGAATATCACACACTAGGGCCTGTGGGGGGCAAGGAGAGGGAGAGCATCAGGACAAATACCTAATGCATGCGGGGCTTAAAACCTAAATGACAGGTTGATGGGCGCAGCAAGCCACCATGGCACATGCATACCTATGTAACAAACCTGCATGTTCTGCACGTGTATCCCAGAACTTAAAGTGTAGTAGCAAAACAAAACAAAACAAAACAAAACAAAAAGATTAAAGTAACCACTCAAAAAACTTAAAAAAAGAAAATTACTTAAGTTTTAATGTATGAAGTATGATTATGACATCCTAATTTTAAAAAATGATGAGAGGAAAATTTGACAAGTCACAGTTCATAGCAATCCATTCTTGTCAGCAAATGCCATCTTTTAATATTGGGAAGAAAACTATGATCATCAATTTGGTGTTTTTACATCTAGTCCATGTTTTCTCATCCTACCTACAAATATAAATCCCAACAGCAGAACATAGTTATTTAATTAATTTATTTAACTTTTATTTTAGGTTTGGGGCTACATGTGAAGGTTTGTTACATAGGCAAACGCGTGGCAGGGGGTTTGTTGTACAGATTATTTCATCACACAGGTATTAAGCCCAGTACCCAATAGTTATCTTTTCTGCTCCTCTTCTTCCTCCCATCCTCCACCCTCAAGTAGACACCAGTGTCTATTGTTTCCTTCTTTGTGTTCGTAAGTTCTTATCATTTAGCTCTCATTTATAAGTGAGAACATGTGGTATTTGGTTTTCTGTTCCTGCATTAGTTTGCTAAGGAAAATAGCCTTCAGCTCCATCCATTTCCCCACAAAATATATGATTTCGTTATTTTTATGGCTGCATAGTATTCAATGGTGTATATGTACCACAATTTCTTTATCCAGTCTATCATTGATGGACATTTGGGTTGATTCCATGTTTTTACTATTGAGAATAGTGCAGCGATAAACATAGGCATGCATGTCTCTTTATAATAGAGTGATTTATATTCCTTTGGGTATATACCCAGTAACAGGATTGCTGGATTGCATGGTAGTTCTGCTTTTTGCCCTTTGAGGAATTGCCACACTGATTTTCACAATGATTGACCTAATTTACGCTTCCACCAAAAGTGTATAAGCAGGTCATAATTATTTTAAATAGCACATTTCAAACAGTTTTCTTGACAGTTTCAAATTCTGGGAGTATTGTCTTTTCACTTTGATTAGATCATTGTTGTTTTTATTTTGCATTGTACCTGACAGGGAGCTTGTACTAGGAGGACACACGTCAACTCTGCTATTAAAAAAATTCATACGTGTCCATAATTAGTTTTATCTTTAATGCATGGATTCTTCCAAGAAAACATCTATGCCACTTGAAATTTTGTGAACATTAGTTTTCTTAAAAACAGATAATATAATCTGTAAATCTACTAAACCCTGCACAGAGATTGTAATTCATCTCAATACACCCAACACAATCGTCACTGCTAACTGCATTACACTATGGAGTTTTGCTCCCCCACAGGCTACTGC